TCGCCGGCCCGCGGGAGTCCAGCCGCTCCGTTTCCCCTAGGTTGGGCGCGGGTGGGCGGCATTAGCGCTTTGTCAGAATGTTGCGCCTGGTGAGCTGGAACATTAATGGGATCCGGAGCCCTCTGCAAGCGGTGGTACAGGAGCCCAACAACTGTACCGCCAAGTCCATGGCGCGCATTTTGGACAAGCTGGATGCCGACATCCTCTGTCTTCAGGAAACCAAAGTTACCAGTGAGTGCTCAAGAATCCAGGACCCCAACCATACTTTCCCCTTTCCATTAACCTTTACCCGCTACTCCATCTCATTTCATTCTTCCATGTCTATGTCTTTAGAGTCCTGCCCCTTAGACCTTCAGAATCCTGGCCCCCTCCTTTTTAAACCCCTATTTCTTAATTCAGCTAGATCTCCTAATTCCCAGTTCATCTCCTGTCCTCAGCAGAACCTTAATTCCCTCCCCCTTGCAACCTCCATCCTCCCTCTGGTCCTCTAATTTCCCACTTATTCTCCTGCCCAGGCTCAGCCCCCATCATTTTCTCCCTTCCAAGCCAGACTCCCCAGTTTCCTCCTTTTTACATCTTCAAATTTGATCCCTAGCTCCCCTTATCTATACTCCCATCTCTCTTCCCCAGCTCAGCCTTTCATCATTTCTACCTCATGTCCCATCCCAAGCTTAGTCCTAATTCCCTCTCCTTCCCATCCATCTCCCAGCCCCAGCTCACTCTCTTGATCCCCACCCCCACTCCCTTCTGAGATTCCCTAACTGCTTTTCCTTCCATCTCCAGTTCAGATCCTCTAATTCCCTCCCCTACCTCCTACCCCTAGCTCAGATTTCCAGTTCCCTCTGCAATAACCCAATTTCCCACCCCCAGCTCCCTCCTGTAATTTAGTCACCTCCCTCCTCTCACCTAATTCTCCACCTCCCATTCGATATTTCCCTCCTTCTAATTCCAATATCAATTCTCCCTCTAGTCCCCACCTTGCTAGTTCTTTCTCTAATCATAGATACTTCATTTTCTTTCCCAGCTCTGACTCTGATGTGTGCAAGGAATTAGTTACAACTGTAATTCCAGGCCTTTGTGTGTCCTGGGTCTTAGTTTTATCTCTGACATAATCTTACATCTTTTTTCAGGGGATGTGCTGACAGAGCCCCTGGCTATCATTGAGGGCTATAACTCCTATTTCAGCTTCAGCCGCAACCGTAGTGGCTATTCTGGTAAATGGGGGTTTCTGGGGACTTTAAATTAGTCAGACTTTAAATTAGTGATGAAAGCAGATAGGGGAAAAGGGTTTCCAATATTTGATGAGAAGGTAATAAGAAATTTAGGCTTTTAGTCCAGAGAGCTAAAGCCACATAAAATTATGTATAAAATTATCCTATTGGACCTCAGAAGCACAATAGTGTGGTGGTTAATTGTATGAGCTCTGGAGTCAGACTGCCTGGATTTAAATCCTAGCTCATTTCCTAGCTGTGTACCATCTGGCTAGTTACTTAACTTCTTTATGCCTCAGCTGGAAAATGGCGATAATGCATGCCTCCTCAGGCAGTATACGGATTATACAAATAAGTCCATGTGATAATGATAACAGCTAACACTTGTTGAACACTTACCTTGCATTCCTGTACAACACTTAGAATATTAGCTGTTGTAGATAAAGGAATTGAAGCTTCAGGATTTGAGTAGAGCTTCCCTAGGGAGCCTCAATGGCCTTTGAGTTGGGAAAGGCATCAATACAGCCACACTTGATGAAGATGACTCAGGTGACTTGTGTGCGGGCAGCAGGGTGTTGGCTGCCAGGCCTGCTCAGAGCGCCCTGTCTGTCTCCAGGTGTAGCCACCTTCTGTAAGGACAGTGCTACCCCAGTGGCTGCTGAAGAAGGCCTGAGTGGCGTACTTGCCATGCAGAAAGGGGACGTGGGTTGCTATGGAAACATGGATGAGTTCACCCAAGAGGAGCTTCGGGCTCTGGATAATGAGGGCCGGGCCCTTCTCACACAGCACAAGATCCGGTAAGAGCCCACCTCCCCCTGTCACTGAACAGTGTTCTACTGTGTGAATGTGGTGATTCTGAGGCTAGCCTTTATAAATATGGATTCAGCATAGAAAACTTCCCAAACTTGCCTTTCCTGGACTCTAGTCCTAGCTGTGTCACTCACTATGTGACCCTGGGAAAATCATGTCCCCTCTGAGCCTGAGTTCCCCATCTCTACAGTGGGGGCATGGCTGGGAGGTCCAGCTCTCTTATTTATACAGGCACAAACAAAAGCAACTTAGCCTAGGCTGAACTCATTGCCCCAAGAATCTCTCTTTCTGTGTGTCCTGTCTTTGTCAGTGGTAGTACTATCACCTGGTTTACCTGGGTGTCATCCTAGATGGCCCTTGCTGCATCCATAGTCAGTCCCCAAGTCCTGTGCATGCCAGCTCATTCATGCCTTTCTTCCCCTTTCTTTGCACCCATCCCACGGAGAGGCTTGAAAATGACTCTTTCTTGGGGGGTTTTTTTCTCCCCAGTACGTGGGAAGGGAAGGAGAAGATCCTGACCCTAATCAATGTGTACTGCCCCCACGCTGGGAAGCCTGAGCGGCTGGCCTTTAAGATGCGCTTCTATCACTTGCTGCAGATCCGAGCAGAAGCCCTCCTGGCGGCTGGCAGGTACTGTAAGCCTGGGCAGCAAGGTTTCTTTGAGTTTGTGTCTTGTGCCCAACTCTATGTCAAGCTCCACTGGAAGGGATATGGGATCTTTGTCTTTTGAGTTTTTTCACAGCCTAGTTGGAGACACCAGCATGCCTGTCTGAATGGGCCATGCTCTTTAAGCTGTGAGGACCAGGTAAAATGACATAAATATGGGTTTTGTACTCAGATACCTCTGACTACCTAACCTGGCACCTCCTTTTACTCACTGTGATCCCCAATAGTCCTGCCTCCATTTTCTCTTTTGTCAAATGAATGTATGAATCCTTACCTCAGAATAGTTTTGAGGATGAAATAAGATGAGGAATATAAAGTTCCTGGGAGCAAATAATGTTATCCCAGGGAGGGTCAGGAAGTGAGGGTGGGTTAGAGTAATCAAGGGATGCTTCATAGAAGAAGTGGTATCTGAGCTCAACTTTGAAGGACCAGAAAAATACTATTAGGTGGATATCAGTCAGTCATGTTAGATGGAAAAGTGTCACTTTTCGGGGTCAGAATTGGGTTGGTCAGGAGTAAAGGGCAGCAAGGCTATGATCAGATTGGAGAGGTAGGCTGCTATGAGTTGCTGTTGGCTCTCACCTTGGCCTCAGTTTGGGAGGTGGCCTATCTGAGCTCTTGAGCCCAGGAGAAAGTAGACAGGCCAAGACTACTGCTCCCTCTCTTGAATATCCAGTTGACAATCCCACTGCTGTGTTTTTCAGCCATGTGATCATTCTGGGTGACCTGAATACAGCCCACCGCCCCATTGACCACTGTGATGCAGTCAATCTGGTAAGGCTCCCTCTAGGCCCCTGACCTCACTCCTGACTGGTTCTGTTCACCCAGCCAACCAATGCTGTTTTTTTGGCCCGTGGACAATTTCATTCATGGAAAAGCAGAACTTAGTTTGAAATACTGTTCTCATAGCACTGAGGATTGTTTATTCATTCAATAGACATTACTGACCCTATCCTTGTCCTGCCCTGAGTTACATGCTGGGGACCCGGTTCTGGCTCTCAGCCCTTCGGAGCTCTCAGCGTGGTGGTAGGCTGTGGACACATGACCAGCCAATTATAGAATGTTGTCTTCAGGGCTGAGGCAAAGATGGCAGCTTAGGCAGCTAGGGAGCTCAGAAATGGGATTCCTGGGCCAGCCTGGACATCAGGGGAGGCATCTGAAAATGTCTGAATCTTAAAAGATGAATAGAGTAAAGCTTTAGGTGAGGGCAGCAAAGCATTCTAGCATGAGAAAAGGTTGCAGGTTGAGAATTTGCCTGGTGTGTAGAGGAAACTTGCAAGTCCCGTTCTTATTGGGGGGTGACAGGAAGGGAGGTGAGTGGCAGGAGATGGGGCTCCTTTGGGAGCCAGATTTCAAGGGCCTTGAACGTCACATTGCCTTGTTCATCTCTCTATGTCTCCTATTCGTGAACCTTCAGTACCTCCCTATTACCTCTGTGATGCTAAGAAAACATGTAGGCCTGGCTTTCAAGGTTCTTTCTGGTCTCTATATCTTCAGTACCCCTACACACTCTCCACTCTAGCCAGGTTGTCTTCTCTCTGCCCATTGAAAAGTCATTCTGATTCTGGCTTTTCTCACTAAACCCTGATTTGGTCGACATCCCTTCTGTCTTTTTTCTTATATGAACCTCTCATTTCTGAATCCCTCTAGGCCAATGGTTATCAACACCTGACAGCACATTAGAACAAGGAGCTTTTGCAAAAATATCAATAACTTGACCAATTAAATCAGAAACTGTTGGGTGTAGGGCCAGGGTAGCAGAATGTTTTAAAAGCTCCCAAGCTGATTTTATTGTACAGTCAGGTTTGAGAACCACTGTCCTGCAACCTACAAGCCAGTTCCCCTCTTGCCTTATGAGTGTGGAGATCAGTAACTCATGCTGACACAGTTCAGCTCAGCACTGGGCTTGACTCAGAGAAGGAGCTGTAGGAAGATTCCTTGATTTAGTTTGCAGAAGAGGCACGGAAACATATATGTGGCTCCAAGCTTACGAAAGGAGCCAAAATGAGATAATAGTGTTGGTGTGGTGAGGAAGGGTGTGTACACTACAAGGTAAGCCTTCTGTTCCTCCCTACCTTATTCCTCAGCAGGCATTTAGTCAGCCTCTTGTCTCTGCTTCCTGTGATAGTGTCCTACCTTTGTGCCTTCTCTCCTCATTTCAGAACTATCCTAGATCTAAGTGTACCTCCTACCTTCTTTCTTCCAGCAAAAGACAACTAATAGTACCAGGTCACATGACAAACAGTGTCCAAAGTAGCAGAATATGTCTGCTTCCCACAAGACCAGCTCTTCTAGTCTTCTCATCTCTCAAAATGGTACCATCATGCCCTTGGTTGCTCGTACCAGAAGCCTGGGAATTGTGTTAGTATTGTCCTTCCCTCCCCCACCCTTCCCACATTCAGTTGGTCAGCAACTACTGTAGAGTCTAGTTCCAAATCATCTCTTAATTCCATTTTTCTCTGTCTCCTCTGGTACTACCCTAGTCTAAGTGACCATCGTCTCTTGCTTGCATGAACTACAGTAGTCATCTGCTGGTATTCTGGCCCTCAGTTTGGTCTCCCCTCAGGTGTTTGGGCATTCTGTCCCCTCCACAGGCCCGTCACAGAGGCTGTTCTCCCAATTCTTAATACCCTCTTCCTGGGTTACTCCTGCTCAGCCTTTACTTTTTAGCTCCAGATCACTTCCTAAAAGCCTCATTGGTCCCCAGAACGAGATCAGGTTCCCACTTTGTCCCTAGCATCATATCTGGCACATAATCAGTGTTCTTTGTACATTTGTTGCACTGAATGAATAAGTGGGTGGATGGACAAATTAGGAAGCAGAATCAAAAGAAGTGTTCAGGCATGGCTCCCCGGAGCTCCTCAGCTCTGGAATGAAGAGTGGTCAGTGAGGGCTTCGACATAGATATGCAAATAGTGCCAGAGGGTTTAAATAAAAAGGCAGCAGTCTTAACTCTTAGCCTCCCCCCTACTTTCTAGAGGCAGCCACTTTTAGCTTCCTGTTTTGCATTCTTTTGGTGAGCAATTCGAAGAACTGCTTTGATTAAGCAAACAACAAATCAGTAAGGATGGAAATTGAATCCCAGCTCTGCCAGTGCTGGACTGTGTGACCTTGAACAGTAGCCTTTGGAACAACCACATTTTCTTGTCTGTAAAATGAAGCAGTCAGTCTAAGTCCCTTCCTGTTCCAGGCATCTAGTTCTGCCTCTCTCTTCATCCCTCTTCCCCTTCCCCAGGAATGCTTTGAAGAGGACCCAGGACGCAAGTGGATGGACGGCTTGCTCAGTAATCTGGATTGCCAGGGTGGGTCCCCCGTAGGGACCTTTACTGATAGCTTCCGCTGCTTCCATCCAAAGCAGGAGGGGGCGTTTACCTGCTGGTCGACAGTCACTGGTGCCCGCCGTCTGAACTATGGCTCCCGGATTGACTATGTGCTGGGGGACAGGACCCTGGTCATGGACACCTTCCAGGACTCCTTCCTGCTGCCTGAAGTGATGGGCTCTGACCATTGCCCTGTGGGTGCAGTTTTAAGCGTGTCTCCTGTGCCCGCAAAACAATGCCCACCTCTTTGTACCCGCTTCCTCCCTGAGTTTTCAGGCACCCAGCTCAAGATCCTTCACTTCCTAGTTCATCACAAACAAGATCGTGTGTCCAAGCAGTCAGCGCAGCAGCTCAGCACTCAAACCCAGGTACAGATGCGCCAAAACAAAGCCCGAGTGCGTTCAACCAGGCTTCGACCAAGTCAGGCTGGCTCCAACAGAGGGCAAAAAAAATTGATAAACTACTTCCAGCCATCCTCCAGCTGTTCCCAAGCTCCTAATTTGGAGCTTCCTAGCTTGGGTACCCTTGTGACCCCAAAGACCCCAGAAGACAAGGTGATGGTCAAAGTGATGGAGGGGCAGACCAAGGCTTCAGAGGCCAAGGATGAGAAGGAGGTACGGACCTCATTCTGGAAGTCTGTGCTGGGGGGTCCCTTGCCCATGCCCCTCTGCAGGGGCCACGGGGAACCATGTGTGATGCGAACTGTGAAGAAGCCAGGACCCAACCAGGGCCGCCACTTCTACATGTGTTCCAGGCCCCGGGGTCCTTCTACTGACCCCTCTTCCCGCTGCAACTTCTTCCTCTGGAGCAGGCCCAGCTGATGTGTTCCAGGCCCCGGGGTCCTTCCACTGACCCCTCTTCCTGCTGCAACTTCTTCCTCTGGAGCAGGCCCAGCTGAGCCAGCCCAGGCCTAGGGATGTCTGGCCTGGTCAGTCCTGTACATGATCGGAGGCAAGCACCTTCCTAAGCTGCCACCTCCTCCCCCAAGGCTTCCTTCCCCTCCTCCTCCTCCCTCACCTTCCTCAAGGACCCTTCTGTTTCTTCTCTCTTCTTCCTCCAGGGCGTCTCTTCCTCTGTCTAGCTCCTCATTGGGGAGCTTCCTGTGCCTTAATGCTGCAACCCAGTCCTCCACCCCACTTCCCACTTTCCTGTAAGAAGTACACAGGAACCAGTTGCTCCAGGAAATTTAAAAACCCTTCCTTTCCTTGTTAGGAAATGTATCTGTGCCTAAATAAAGTCTGTGTCTTTGTTTTAGTGCACCATGTCATTTAAAGATTTTGGATATGCTCTATGAAATGTTACCAATACTGGGTTTGCCAGCTGCCTATAGCCTGATGATATAACTCTCAGGAAGAGGGGAGGAAGGAGGAGTGGTGCTCACCATGAAGGGCTCTGCTGAGCTGTCGGGGTTCCCTGCACTGCTGAGGTTGTCTAAGCAAGGGAGGTGGGTGTGGTGTGACAGAAAGCTCAGGTGGGCTGTGAGCTGTAAACACTTCACAACTGGTATGCCCAACAGCTGCCATAAATGGATTATAGGGTGGAAAGGCATAGATTTCTCAGCTCTAATGTTGCCAGGCAGGGTCAAGAATTGCACAAGTGTCAGGAAAGATTGTCTCCTAGGCAAGTACAATTAGTTTATTCAAGTGTGCTGTGCAGATTGTTTTCTGTGTTCTGTGAACTGGAAAGGTTGGGAGCATTGCCTTAAACAAATTGCTTGTTATAGTCAAGCCTTTCTCACCTGGTAAGTCCTGTTCTGTAAGGTGTGGAAAGGAAAGAGGATAGTGGATTGAGGAGGACTGTCATTCCTTCTGCTGGAAAATATAACTTCAGAGTTTTAGGGAACTACTCTCCAGGCAGTTTGGTTTGAACTGACTACCTCCGGGCTTCATGAAGCCCAGGCTTCCTCGCCTACCAGTGAAGAGTCAATCTCTGGATTTTTGTTGAAACCATTAGGTAAGAGTCATTTCAAATAAGCCTGCCAAGTGTCTCAGCTCTTTGCTCAACTTACTGTGTAGTCTCCTTTCTGGATTCAGTTTCCCTAACAGTAAAATAGGGTAGTCAGATCAACAAGCGACCTGTGGTTTCCTGCTGACTGCCACTTGTCTTAGGGAGTTAGGTATAGTGCTGTCCAGCAGAGGGCTCCAAATGCTGCAGTTTGCTCTTTATTTGTTTTCAGACTCAAGTCAACTAGAGGCACACAACAAAGCAGAGGACTGGAAGCAGCCCAGTCCCAAGCGAAGTATAGGTGGGGTGGGGATCTGAGGCAGCTGGCTTCTCATGCATAGGTGGTGACATACTGGGGCCCCATGTTCCCAAAGTAGGAGCGTTCCCACTCACTCATGAGCTCGAAGTGCACAGGGCGGCGACAGAAATTGCAGGCAGCCACAGACACATCCTGGAGGGGCAGCCCCACCTCAGTCCAGGCTACCAGCAGCTTCTCTGAAGGTGGTGAGAGGAGAGGAGGGAAAGAATTGGTTAGACTAGGTTTTCTTAATCCTTCTGTCACAGTACAAATGTGCCAAGATATAGATCCCTTCAGCCCTTGAGATGTCTTAGAACCAGAAGTAGCTCCTGGTTTGCTCCATTGTATATTATGAGTGTTACTGTTTGTGTATGGGGCTGTAATGTATAAAAGATTGGGAAGCACCTATTTGACACAATTTATAGCTCTACTGGCCTGGCCTGGATCACACCCTAAGTACAGGACATGCTGTGGCCCAAGAAATGAATCCATCTACTTGGGAACTCCTGGCCTGGGGAGGAAAATGACACTGACAGTAACCACACAGTCATTGTTGTGACATGGGAACCTGGGGTGGGGAGTGTTCCTGAAGGGGGTGGGAGCACAGGAAAGAACCTAACCCCACTGTCAGAAATGCTTCAGGTGTGTGCCAGGGCTCTGTCTGTGGCTTTTTAAGTGATCACTACCTGGGTGATCTCATCCTGTCTCATGGCTTTAAACACCATCTTTATGCTGATGATTCTGAAATTTTCATCTCGAGTCCAGACCACTCCTGAATTCTAGACTTGTATATTCAATTGCCTTTATCTCCAATTTCAAAGAGGCATCTATAACTTAACATGGACACAACTGAGCTACTGATCNCCCCTATAATTTGTTTCCTCGGCCCATTTCTTCTAGATATTGCCTCTTGCACCTCTGTCATTTTACCAAATAAATGTTCTCTTGCAGTTTGAAAAAAAAAACCACCAGGAAGTAGAACGTTCCCATAAAGTCTTTCGTGAGCTCAAGTGGTGTAAAGCCAAGAGTACCCACCACTTTCCGAAAGTTCACATTGCATCACTGTGTTTTTAGAAAAACCTACATTAGTGTGGTAATGTCCTCTTTTGTAAAAACAAAAATCCTCTTGAGATTTGTTCCCATTCACAAAAACAAGCAGTACTAATGCAGGTGGCCTAGGGCATACTTGGAAAGCTGGAGACACCTGTGCCGCAGAGGAAGCGACTGCCTCCAACGCCAGGCTGGACCCTGACCGCTTAGTCAGTCAGCATCTTCCGTTCCCCTATCCATAAATCACTGGTTCAGGGATGGACATGTATCCTAAACTGGGCCAATCTGAGTGCCTCTCAGGACTCTAACACAGAAGGATTGAACAGAGGGATCTCCAGAGAAGGGTGTAAACCACCAGATGTAAACCAGGAAATATGAAGCCTGGATGGCCTCTGGCAACCTCCATCTTCAGAGACAGCCATCGCAGCAAGCAACAAAGCAGAGAAATGCAAAGGCCCTGGGTCCTTAGCTATATCTTTAAACCACTAGACCAGCCTGTCCCGAAACACACCAATCCTACAGTTAGAGGCTCTGTAGCTCAAGCCAGTTGAACTTGGGTTTTGCATTCCTGTCACCCAAAGCTTCCTAGGCGACAAGCTGGTATCACAAGGCAGTATGCACCATCTCAAGCCAGTGAGAGGGTCTTGAAGAGGACCCCTTGGAGATTAGACATGGAGGACGCAGGCTGGCACCTCACCCACAGAATCTGAAGGCTGTGAGTTGTAGGCATCTGGCAGCTGCAGGAAATGACATGATTAAGTGGGAATGGCCTGGGTGTGCATCCCCATTGGCCAGAACTGCGCCTGCTGAAGGGAGCCAGGCAGGTCTTCTCAAGGGAGACCCTGCGCGGAGAACCACCTGAAGTCGGAGCAGCAGGGGAATGAGTCAAAGCAGGAGGGGGAGCCCTGTGCTAGTAACCAGTTGACCAGCAGGGGGAGTCATTGCCCGCTTCAAGGCAGCTGTAGGTGCCAGGTGCCCAGCGATGGTAGAATCCCTGAAGAGCTCCCCAAAAAACGTTTCCAGAGAAAATAATGCAGCAACAGGGCCTCTGCCCCATGCGGAGAACACCAGGGCCAAATTACAACACAATCGGTCAAGCGAAACCTTTCCTGACCCTTACCTCCCCTCCCCTGCCCAGCCTGGCCCTGCAGAGACCAAAGAGAGCAAATAATAAGGGAGGAACAGACTGGGTCAGAAAGAAAACCAACCAGACTGTTTTCCTGCTGATCCCCAGTGAAAGGCAGGCCCCAGGTGAAGTAGGGGAGAGGAGTTAAGTACAGTAATATATCAAATATTAGAGCAGATGAAACTTTTTCCAGTTGCTGAGATCCCCTTACCCTCCACCAAAGCCTATTCTACTTTCAGCCTTACCCATCTCAGTTGATGGCAATTCCAATTGCTCAGTCCGTACATTTTAGAGCCATCCTTTATTTTTCTCTTCTACACATCCAATCTATCAGCAAATATCATTGGCTCCACCTTCAAAATCTGACTACAAATCAAGATTGAGCCACCATTGCCTTTTACTTGGAATATTCTAGTAGCCCCCTGTTGGATCACCCTGCTTTTACTCTCTCCCTTTCAGTCTATTCTCAACATAGAAGTTGGAGCAATTCTATTAAAACCTGAGTTAGATATGTCACTCTTCTGGTCAAATCCTTCAAAAGGCTATCCATTTCTGAGTTAAAGCCAAAATCCTTCCAGTGGCCTATGATACCCTACACAGTCTGGGCCCATATTGCCCCTCTGTCCTCAATTTTCTCTCTCCCTCTTGCTTACACTACTCCATCTACATTCATCTTAATGTTACTCAAATATAAAAGGAATACTCCTGTTAGGCTCTCCCCTGCCTTTTGCCCTTTCCTCTGCTTGTCATGAACTCCCCTTAGATATCTGTCCAGCTCACTCCTTCACCTCCTTCATATCTTTGCTCAGGTGTCATCTCAATGATTTCTACCCTTAACTCCATTCATTGCTACAACCCCCCTCCAATCTAGCCCCTCCTATCCCCCCTACCATTAACACTTCCTATCCCTTTTATCCTGCTTTATTTTTTTCATAGTGCTTAGAACTACCAGGCTATATACTGTTGAAACTTGAACAATGTGGGGGTTAGTGGCACTGAACCCCACACAGTCAAAACTCCACATGTAACTTTTGACTCCCCCAAGACTTATTTATAGTCCCTCATTATCCATAGGGAATTTGTTCCAGGACCTCCTGTGGATACCAAAATCCATGGATGCTCACGTCCCTTACATAAAATGGTGTAGAATAATGCACACAGCACTCCACATCCTCGGATTCCCAACCACTAATCAAAAATACTGTTTTTGATCCGTGGTTGGTTGAGTCCATGGGTGTGAAACCTGGAGATACAGAGAACCAACTATATTTATTGAAAAAATCCTCATATAAGGGGACCCACACAATTCTAACCTGTGTTGTTTAAGGGTCAATTGTAATTTGCTTATTTTTAAAATGTCTTTTGACTGCCCTGGCTAGTATGGCTCAGTTGGTTGGAGCATTGTGCTGTACACCGAAAGGTTGTAGGTTCAGTTCTGGGTTAGGGCACATGCCCAGGTTGCGGGTTCAGTTCCCTGTTAGAGCAGGTACAGGAGGCAACCAGTCAATGTTTCTCACATCTCTCAAATCAATAAACATAAAAAATGTTAAAATGTTTTTTGACTATCTCCTATCACTAGAATGTAAGCTCCAGAAGGATAGGGATTTTGCATCTGTTTTGTTTGCTACTGAATCCCCAGCACCTAGAACAGTGTCTAGTATACAATAGACTCAATAAATATTTGTCGAGAGAATGAAAGAATGTCTGGTTAAGTCTAGAAGATGAAAGAAAAGGAAGTAAGCCAGAGGAAGGATTTGAGGGAAGGCGTTCCAATTAGAAGGGAGCATTAATTAGCAAAGTCCCAGAGGTAAGGGAATAGAGCAAAATGAGGGAACTACA